TAAAAACGTCGTTTCGAGAAAAACGCGTTTAAAGTTTAAGTAGTACTTACAGCTAGTCAGCGATCCCAGGACCGTATAGTACTTCCTCTTCCTCTTTATATAGCTCGTTTTTTGTTGCAATCTTCAATCGACGGGCAGATCGGGCTTCTTTTGAAGTTTGTAGAGCACGTTTGTCAGCGTTTCTTATCCGTTTATTGTCTCGTCTGGTAGCCATTATTGACGCTTTCATCCCAATCTTAATTCCCATGGCTTCCATTATTCGAAGCACAGAATTAAAACCTTCATTGGAAATGCATGCTGCCAAAAATAAATAATGCAATTTCAATAGTTTTTCTTGTGCAGAATATGTGTTTCGATGCAAAAGTCTAAATCAAAGAGTTGAGACACTCGTTGTTGTTTTGAGTGTGGCCACCTAAACATCGTTTCAATAAATCATCCGACAATCCTCATAAATAGATCGAATGACTTCTTGGACCTGTGACGTAAGTGGAGCTGGATGTTTATATTCTAACAAAACGTTATTAGCTTCGGCTTGTTTCCATTTACACCATGATGATTCATCGGGCGGACACTTATCGTGTTGTGGATTCTCATCCGTCGAGCACTTGTGATAAAAAGTAGCCCATATTGCATCTTTCATAGCATCGACAGAATCAGAATTACGGACTATTGCTAAACCGTAGTATGTCGATAAGTCATTTATTGAGGCATCAGTTAATTTTCCAGGACCCTTATCACCAAGTCCTTTATTGTTTTTCTTAGCGGCTCTCAGTCGAGAATCCATACGTTTTTTTACATGTCCAATGCACTCTTTTTTTGTAATTGGAAGTTCATCTCCATACGGCTTACTGTCTAAGAGCGCCTTGAATGTTTTTGTGTCACCATCACCGATATAATTAATATATTTGACTTTATGAAGTGTCTCAGATCTCGCAAATATTTCGACCACACCATCCACTTCCATTTTCTCAGTGTGATTGCTTACGCAATGTTCTTCATGGTCTTCATACCACGCTTCAAATTCCTCATCGTTTTTCTTTTGCCAATAATTGCAAGCCTGACAAAAAGTAGACTTGACGATCAAATCCACAACTTTATCTGAATACTTTCCAATTAACGTGACAACTCCAAACAATGACGAATAGCCTCTTTTACTCTATGTTCCATCGCCCGAGACAGTTAAGTGCAAAGGTTCATTTCCTGTTTCAGTATTTTTTTCCTTCTCTTCTGATGCTGCCTTTAGTATGACAATATCATAAACTGGCAGTCCAGATGTTTTCAAGGCATGCATAATATTGGTCGTTAGTCCTTGACCTAAGTCCATCAAACCACAAAAAGTATTGATACCTTGTAATCCAACTCTAATGAGACACATTGCAAAAACTATTCGTCGATTTATTTCAAACGATTTATTGTTTATTTTGGGACAAGAATCAATTTCAGTTGAGTCACAATCGCAATCAACAACAATTTTAAATCCCAAACCTTGTTCTCCTCTCACATAAAAATTTACATCACTGTCACATTTTTTACATTTCAGTAAAGTTTTCAGTATATTAAAAACAAACAA